TGCCGCAAAAAAGTACCAACTTTCGAGCTGGTGGCCATCAACATCAACATCAACATCAACATCAACACCAGCAGCCTCCACAACTTGCGACCAATTTCGCGTCGGGCTATCGAGATTTCGAGGCTTTCGAGTTCGCCATGTTGGCGGCCGCCGCACTGCAGCATCATCAACACCATCGCGCTCTTCAGATGCACCAGACGGTCGCCAGAACGCCGAGATCCACGCCAAACGGCGACTTGGAGCCGGCATTCGTCAGCCCCGGCAACCACAGTTGTCGTGGTGATGTCGGTTTCGAGAAGAGCTCACCGCATCGCGACATCTCGGCCTTGGCGCTGGCCTCCAGAGCGCTCATCAACGCTCAAGCGGTATCGTGGATGACCGATTTGACAGCTTCCCTATCAACCGGATCGGCGTCTGTCGCCGGTGGCGGCCTTCTCTCGTCGACGTCACAGCAACAATACCATCCAGCCTCGGAGACCACTTTCGCACAGACCGGCTGTAACGGACGCTCGCAGATGAACAGTCCCAACCCGATGAATGCCAAATTGGAGGTCGCGGGTCAGAACCACTCATCAACACAACTTTCCGCACCTCTGTTCGCCCAAGATCGAGTCCCACCTCGGCCCGTAGGCACACCTTCCGCCCGACACACCAACACGGCACAGGACAAGCTGACCTCTCGACGGGTGTGTCTCAACAAAAGTCTACCTTTGGTGCATCTGCTTTCACAACCGGCACATGCAGCATCCTCCAGTCAGCTGCATCCTCACATGCAGGCCTACTCGGAGCATCAATTCGCGCACAGTCAAGCCTCGTCGTTTTCACCGCCTCCTTCACACCTTCACAATCATCAACAGCACACTCACTCTTCCCTCCATCAGACCCATCAGCATCATCAGCATCATCAGCATCACTCGCAATCGTTTCATCCCAGTCAGCATGCGCTACCCTTTGCTCTGGGGCACAGTCTCCCCGTCAACTCGGGACAACACGACCATTTGCCCACTCCGACCGGGTTGACGCCCAACGGTGGTACAGCAAGTCCGGCAGACAGCGAGACAGGCACTGAGGAGATCGGCTCACAGACGCTCTACGATGGTACA